ATCTTGAATTTATTGTTCCTGTGTTGCTTTTAGTGGGAATTTTAAAATTTACAAAAATTGATGTTCAGCAGGTTTTGACAACTGGATTGTGCGGGTTATGACCTTCCTTCAAAATTTTCAGCGAAAAATTAACCGCCTCATAACCCTGGGTTAGAGAACCCATTGAAATAACATCGACATGTGGCCCGAAATATTGCGCAATGCTTTCCATTTTAACACCGCCGCTTCCTTCAATCAAGAGATGTGAAAATTCTTGCTTTAATACCTCAGCAGCCTTGTGAAGCGCTTCAGGTTCAAAGTTATCCAGCATAACGATGTCGGCTCCGGCAGTGGCAGCTTCTCTCGCTTCGTCGATACTGCGGCACTCGACTTCAATTTTAATGGAGAATCCTCCAACCTTCCTCGCATCTTGCACCGCTTGCTTGACGCTTCCCGCAGTCCAGATGTGATTATCTTTGAGCATGATCATGGAGGACAGGTCGTAGCGATGCGTCGAAACTCCACCAACGAGAATAGCGTATTTTTCCACCGTGCGAAAACCTGGGGTGGTTTTCCGAGTTCCCGCTATTTCGCCCTGCCATTTATGTTCCTGTTTAAGATTTGCCAATGTTCTAGCTTTTGTCGCGATGCCACTTGCTCTTGCGATGCAATTCAAGGCGACTCTCTCTCCTAACAGGATCTTGTTAACTTTCCCAGTTACTTTTGCCACTGTAGTCGCAGGTTCTACTTGCGCCCCTTCTGAAAACACCCATTCCACTTTGCAACCCAACTCGTGGAATATTGCGTCGAAAAAAGGCACGCCTGCTAAGACACCTCTCGATTTGCACAGCAAAACTGCAGTCTCCTCGCTTTCTCCTACAACAAAACCACCGTAATCGAAATTTGGAGTGTCTTCGGCAAGCCACTGCAGTACATGTTGCCGTAGAGAAACTGGATGGAGAAGAAACTTAAGCCTGCTGTCCGCCATTTTGGTTAGCTTGGTTACTAAGCATATATGCCAGGTTACAAAGCTAAATACCTCCCATGATTCTAAGCGGGATTTAAAAAACAACAAAATGGTGAACGGAGGGAAGGCTTCGAGGGAATTATTTATTTTTAATATTTTCGGTGTTTACGTCTCGCTAGTGCATCCATACTTCAACGCAGAGGAGATTTATGGTGTAACGTATGGATTTGAGATTTCAAGCGTGCCTGTTCTTCTAAAAGAGGTAAGTTTTCAAACTTTTCCCCTCCGCCAATGAAGTAACGCAACGTTATTTCTTTGGCTAAGGAGCGGGCACCTGCGGCTTGGAATAGGAAAAGATAATCACAAGACTTTTTTTTGTTGTTTGTTAATTGTAGGAAGGATTCCTTATGTGCAAGATAAACACGTTTAACAGCAATTTTAGCGTAGATTACCGGTTCTTAATTAGTTTCATTAAAAGCTTGCACAGTAATTTCGATTTCTTGTTTAATTTGAAGAACTTTGCAATCTTGTTTATGCATTGTTTACAGTTTACTCTTGTGGTGTTTTGAATGATGCAGAATTACTACTATAAACCTCTCTAAGATAACGAGGGATGAACCATTAAATTTTTGATTGTGGGGTTAGGCAAACAAAAGTTCCTGCACAGGAAAAAATGGCCGGTATAAGAGGAATTGACAGTAACTTGTGAACAACTTGTGAATCTTAGCTAGCCTAGGATAGCATTTTGCTTTGACTAATGAGAGACCTTTCTGTTAATTTGGCAAACTCATTGAACATCATGCATTCACAAGTTACTCGCAAGTTACAGTGTACTGTGTTAGCCCTGGTTGTTCAAAGGCTGGATAACGCTATCCGCCGGGTGAATCGCTATCCAGTGAATTAAGGTTAACAAAACAAACCACACTATTCACTGGAAATTGATTTATCCAGTGGATGCCGTTATCCATGTTTTGAACAACCCAGGCCAGAAATTTAGTGATGGGCATATAGTAATACCTGTATTAAGCGGACCCCACATTAAACTAAATTTAATTTTCTTCCCACATTTACTGTGAAATAAGCCTGCATTCAGCAGGCACCTCTGTTAAGCGGACGCAGACACCAGTATTGAGCCATTTTGTTGCACAAAACTTGCAATAACCAGAAACTTCAAGGGCTCTACTTCTAAAGGTTCAGCTGAGACTCCTTTAATAACATTGTTCAGTGATGTCGTTTTAAAGCTAAGTGATTATTCCAGATTGATACATTGACTGACTGAACATCGTACTACAAGCAGTCTTAGCTAGTCTTTGATCTTACATTGTGTTATACTATGTTACAAAAGGGTTAATAATTAATTATTATTGCACAACATATTAGAACCTGTTTTGAGCGGACTCTCTGTATTAAGCGGACACCAGTGAGGGTCCTAAGGGTGTTTGCTTAATACAGGTTTCACTGTAGCTACATGTACAAGTACAGTATCCACAGTTTGGAACCACTATCTTGGCCATTTTTTTTGCTTCCCTTGTGTGTTTGAGTTGGTAGTAAGGAAATAGAGGTTTCTGTGCATCTAATCAGTACAAAACATTTTGAATTGAATATCAAAATACACTTGAAAACAAAAGTGTTGGTGGATGTTATTTGTTTTAGCCTGGGAACACAGATGGATTTATGGCTTTTGTTTCATGGTAAAGTGAAACAGAAGCCATGAATCCATCTGTGTTGACAGGCTGTCCAGGTCTGTCCAGTTCATGGAATTTATTATG